TGAAAGTTCTGTAGTCCAGCTCTCCTCAGGTCTTTATGAATCTGCCTCATTAGCATTGAGTCCAGACACCACGTTACGTCATCATCCTTTTGTTTTTCTAAAAACAATAAACACTGACCTTTGGTCTGAGAGGGGCGACGACGACTAGGAAGAAACACTAGAAAAAGACTGACTTGTGCCAACTTTTCCTCATATTCATTAATACTCATATTATAGGAAAAGATGAAAATCATTGCAAGGACAAACGGTGTGTACAAAAATGCGAAGGACCACACAAGGGTTAAGGACAATGCAGTAGAGTGAAGAACCAAATCCAAAATTCTGCCTCTTCCTGAAGACTAGAAATGATAGGTACAGCTCAGAAAAGATGTGAAGATGGAGGAGAAGGGGAAAAATGTTCAACAGTGTTAGTGAGATGACAACATGATCCAAACACACACACAAATACGTACACACACACCACTCCAGATCCTAGATCTTTGACACGAGGACGATGTAGACACAGTGGTGTTGTGAAGATGCAGGACTGTCACTTTTCCTGTCTGTCTGTCTGTGCAATTGTCTGTGTGTGTGTTCGAGTGTGTGTGTTAAAAAGCAGGTCCCTAAAAGGCCAGTGATTACTCCAATTAAACAGTGTTTCCATCAACATATCTGTCTTCACAAAATTTGAACAGACAGAACACCCCCTACTCCTCTCCCCCACCCCCCCAGACCTCCCAACACACACAAAAATAATGGAGGACATATAAGTATTGACATTACTAAACATAAACTCTATGGTCAACTATCTAGTCTGGACGTTCTGTGCTTTGAAAAGAAACACAAACACAGTTGTGTCTGTTCATCAAGAGGTTCATGTTACATTGTACTTTGAATGATATCGTGAGCAGGAGAAAAACACCTTCAAAACTTAGGTTCTGTGAGTAGTTGCCGAGTTATCTTTAAAAAAAACAACTACATTTCCAACTGTGTTTTCATTGACGTATCAAGAAAATGTTACACGATTACTTAAAAACATGAAATGTTCCTTTACAACATGAGACGATCCTGAAAAGATGCATTAAACAACCACACAACACTTTTATGTGGTTACAAGAAGAGAGGTCATGTCTGGTGATGTGCGCACTGAAGCATGAAGGGAGAGAGGATGCATTTGTGTGTGGTAGAGAGAGAGGAGAGAGATAGAGAAAGAGAGAGAGATAGGAAAACCCTCCATTAGTCTCTGTGGCCTACGGCTAAATCACTGATGATGTCTAACACTCATGCTCTCATGGTCCTAAACCTAAACCTCCTCCTCCTCCCCTACCTCCTTCATCCTTCCACTCTCTCAATTCTCTCTCCATCTTTCAATTATCTCATTCTAACTCGTCCTCTTCCACCTTGTCGTTTTATCTTTTCATCAACATCACTGGGTTAGCAGGGCAGTACAGTGACAGATATTTCACAGTTCAAATATTCTCTTTGAAAGATTGTGCTTATATTACATGAGTAATCATAAAAAAAAAAAAAGATTAATCAGGAAATGGAACCCAGTCGGACTCTTATAAAATGTTACAGCTTTTCTGGTTTTGGGTTTGGGTTTTTGGTATTTACATTCCTTAACAGTAGGTGGTGATATAACCGCCTTAAAATGTAAGTTGACACCTAACATTTCATATCACAGCTACGACACAGACTATGTGATATATGGATATTATTATATTGAGGACAAAGGACAAAAGCCTTGGTGTGTTTTGTGTAGCAAGATGTTGGCATGTACAGTAAAAGCACAAAGCCGTCAAAACAGAGGAGGACTTCAAGACCTCCGGACATCGCAGAAGTATTTTTACTTCATCATGCTTGAAGTATACTGTGATATCTTATCTGTATTTCGAACTGCATCACGCTTTTATTAAAAAAATCTTTACATTACAATTCTCCTCAGACAACAAACTGATGGTTGTTGGACACCATGGTCCTGATTTCTCACTACTGTTCCTCTAACTGGGATCGTCACTGTTAAACTGACATCATGTTATATTAAAGAAAGAAAATAAACAAAGAAAAGTAAAATATTTCAATGCTCATTTTCCTCTGAATATGATTATCATTGCAAACTGAAGAAGCTACAAGTGACTGGAGAAGAAAAGGTCATCATGAAGATCAAATCAAAAATATGTTGCAAATGGAAAAATAACTAAAATATTAACTAAAACGTCTTCAGCGCAAAAAAAGTAGAAAAAAACTCACAAAGATAGATAATTATGAGGAAAAGGGAGTTCTTTATGTAATGACTTCCTCACTTCAAAGTTCAGATATTCTGATCTAGGATTAAGTGAAACCTGAGTCAGACTCGTATGACTGAGCCCAGAGAAACAAAAGAATTTGTTCTCATATGAACTTTGACAGAAAATGATTTCACTGAGAGAAACAGGGAATTATTTACAGTGGGAATATGATACCACAACAGACTGAAACTGGAGGAGAGACAGGTACGGAGGAGAGAAAACAGTTACACACCCTGTTGAAGTGCTACAGGTCTGTTTGGTGTACTGAACACCAACAGAACCAACGTTTCAGGGTCAGAATCTTTGCATTTACCCGAAAACCAAATGGAAACTAACATAATCAGGATGCAAATGTCTCCACACTCTTCCACCTAGGTCGGTCTGTTTTGCCATTGTTTAACCTAATCACCTATGAACCAGTGCTGAATCAGTATCTGAATCGTACATATCCATATTCCAAAGTTTGGAACAGGGCCTTTTGTCAGGGTGAAGGGAATTCAGAACAGATATGTTTTTAACATCAAACCTGCAGAAATTTGCTGGAAGTTTTAGAATGACATTCAGTTACAGAATGTATTCATTTTCGATGGCTTCACCCTCACCAGCAGTTGAAGGATGAGCTGGACAATTTCTTCAATCAGAGGGCCACATACACAGGCAAATAATCATTCACATTTACACCTATGGTCAATATAGAGTGTCCAATCCACCCAATCACTTGTCGTACTTAATCCTTTGAACTCCGACCCACCAGCCAAAGTATAGACATTCATGAACTTGAATGTGTGGTCGAGATCCATGGATCCTGACTGGTCACAGCCCAGTCTTCCATTTCTGACTCATCTGTTTGTCTTAACCACATTTGTGGGAAAGCCTGCTCAGGTCGGACTGAGCCCAAACCCAAACGTGCGGGTGTTTTCACAAGATCGTCTGAATTTCTCTGAATATGACAAAAAAAAAAATAAAAGACAAAAGAAGAAAAGTGTGGGAAGATGGACGGAGACAGAGGTGTCCATATCCCTCATTCTGCAAACAAACAAAAAGTAAACAGCAGTGAAGGAAACACACTGACACCTGACGCTTCCCATGATCCTCCACCTGCACACTCAGGTTTCCCATAAGGCCGTTCTGCCAGCTCCAGGACAAAGGCAGTGAAAAAGCCAACACCTCTACGGTCCTGAGGCGCTAACACACAATGGAATCGGAAAAAAGGCAAACATGCCTTTTGTTTGCTCACATTAAAACATGAGTGTGGCCCCGCCCCTCACATCCCCAGAGGAAACAGAATCGATCCAACGCTGCGACGGTGAACTGATCTCTGGACTTTCTCTGACTTTGCGCTGGCATCACAAAATATCCCTTTTTATTTCCGCCTTTGCTTTTGTCTTTGCATCTTTGTGCGTCGCACAGTGACGCGGTGGCAGCGGCTTAGCCTTGGCACGACCTGAATGAGCGGGCGTAACCTTCCACTGTGATATGGGTATAAAGTTGGTGATGTGACCAGACGTGCCCCTGCCCAATTGTTGATGAGTGAAATGGAATATAGCTATGGACAAAAAACAAAATCTGAACTTGTATTGGCTCAAACACAAGAGAGGACGACTCTGACGATAGCAGTGCTCGAATTCACATGGGCAAAAACACGTGCAATGTCATCGTCATCCATCCATACATCTACTACTGCTTGATCCTTCTCAGGGTAGTGGGGGGTCGATTCAACACTGGCAGTCAGATGGGGTGGCAGGGTCACCATGGACAGTTGATTGTCCGTCTACCGCAGTTCCTCCAGTTCACACCTCACTCTACCAAACCACTGCTCGTATGAGATTGCACAATTCTTAATTATTGTCAAACATTTTTCACCACCTACTGTTGAGGACATAGAAATTTATGCTGTTTTTTTTTTTTAATTTGTCACTGACACTGATGACCATTAAAACAGAAACATCTGAAACTCCACCCATACAATGATAGCGAGTGAGTGTAAAGTGGAGGTGTGTCAATGTATTTGGGGGTCGAGTAATCCAGAGTTAATCCAGATCTAATCCCTCTTCACTGCTTTTGTTGTGTCGTTGGAGATGTGTGGTCGACAAAGGGTCATGTGATGCAACAATCAGTCCATTCAGTGGTGGACACACACACAGGCACAGGCACACATGCACGCACACACACAGGCACACACGCACACGCACGCACACAGACACACACACACACACACACAGTCATTAGAAAACCATATTCACTTCCATTTATTTGAACTCCAGAATCAGCACAGCTTTTAACGCAGTTCGCTTCCTCTGAACTACTCAACATCTCTAGCAGTCAGTTGTGAATTAGCAACAACAACAACAACAGGCTACACAGTCAACCAGTGGCTGATTAGACTGGAGCAGGGAACAATGTTAAAGTTGTGCTGAGCAGACCTGGATTAATTGAATCTCTGAATCAAGGAGTGGAAAACCAAGGGTTTGATCACCAGAGGTCACATCACTACAATGACGAGGATTAGGGCCACATAATATAAAAATACAAGTATAACTATGCAGTCACTTACTGTACAACTTGTTTGTTTTTTTTGATAAAGGTACAACTTTTCTCATAAACGTATGACTATTCTCAGAATTTTACACTTTACACTTACTGTTTAACTTTAATGTGTCCCCAATACTCTGTCATACCTCACACCTCTGTAACACTAGAAGCTTAATTTACAGAAATCATGTGTGGCATAAATAATGAGTGAAGCATCAGTATTTTTTTTTTATTTAACAGAGAGAATAATTTGATACAATGTTTTTTTTCCATCAGCGGCACAGAGGGTTTTTTTTATTTTTATAATGGCACTGTGCTTCTTTTCAAGGCTGTTTTTTTAGGCCAAAGTTTTTACAGGAAGTCAGGTTGACAAAGACTGAGCTCAGACCACATGTTTCCAAAGCACAAAATTGGGCTTGAACAAACAAACTCTTAGGATGCTTTTTACATTTTTAATTAAGCTTAAAGGCTAAAATGCCTAGAGACTAAATGTAAAATTCTAAAACTGTCATCAACTGTTCCAGAAAATGTACAGAAACCAGAAACATAGGAATTTTAATTTACAATTAAAGGCTCAGATTCAATATTTTCTCACATTACCAACACTGGATAATCAAAACGTCTGACCAATACAGGGTTGGGAATTTAACATGTTAATACCCATTAAATATTCATAGATTCTTGTTGTGTTGGTTACAGATGAACTTTTTAGATGGCATCCTGTAAAAGAGAGTGGTTGTGCATCAATTGTGCGACAAAAGTTTTCTTTTTGCTGTTGTTGGGCCACCTGATGTTGGCTAAGCAGGTGTTCGGTTTTGGCAAAGCATGTGGTAGGTCAGAGAAGACTTTATTTATATTTTTATAATTACTAGACATTTTATTTCAAGATAGTATGTTTCGCAATTGAAAAATTGTATTAATTAATTTAAACAATTACTAATTTATCAGGCCTCTTATCAGGTATCATTTGTTTGTTTACAGTAAGTGGCACCATGGCTTTATTCACAGCTCCAGTCCAGTGGGACATACTGTGGTAACATGTAGTCTGACCTCAGCTGTAACCAGCAGCTGTCCTTTAACTAACTAAACTAACGTCTTTACTTCTATGATATTTAAGTTGTCTCGTTACTATTTGTTACTTTATTATCATATTAACTACAATGTACAAATTAAATGATATACCATAAATAACAGCAGCAACTTCAATTGTAAAAATTTAAAACATATAAATATATTTTGTTGAAGATTCAGGTAATAATTTAAAGACTATGAAATAAATAAGAATCATGTTGAGCTCAGGTATTAGCCCAAACTCAATTTAAATAAATGTAAATGCTACCTTTCAGTGTCAACAGGAGGTAGTAAAAATGGTTTTATGAACAGAACACGAGGCAATCGTGAGGTCTTTGTCATATTGCTTTAGGCCACAGCTCAGAGTCATCTTTTATTGCTGGGTTTAAAAAAAAAGAGAAAAGAAAAGAAAAGAAAAAGATGGCTCAGATTAATAAAAACACCTTTGACTCTTCTTTTTTCCACAGCTGCTTAATCAGGAAACTCGATCAAGTACTTGGATTACTGACAATATCACTGATAATCTCTCTGGGTTTTTGTTTTACTTCCTTCTTCATCTCCATTCTATATTCTGTTACTTTTCTTTTCTACGCTTTTTCTGAATCTATTTGACACAAAAAATGCAACTGAGTGGTTCCTTAGGCGAAGTCGTCTCCACCACAAGGAGGTGCCATTGAGTTCTTTCTTGAAATCAAACGCAGCTAACATTCGGTAAAACTCAGTTAAATCATGATCTACGCACATCTAAAGATCCTACATTACATGTCTTTTCACGTTTAGCTAAGGGAATTAAATGCATTGTCATTTTCTAAAACCTAATGCTGTGATATTGCACAATACTGTTTCACTGCGTCAACTTCTTTAATTATTCTGTAATGGTGGCTAGAATAATCATCATCTCGCCCAGATAATCTATCTGATGAAATCAGATAATCCCTGGTTCAATTCTTAGTCTGTAGCAGTGAAGTCAAATGAAGATAATTAGATTAAGATTAAGACTTTTTTATAGTAAGACATCAAATAAAAAAGTTTTGGATGGAAAATTGTAAAAATAGCAAGCATCTGCAATAATTCTTCAGAAACTATTACTTCCTGATGGAGCTGCAACTAAAGCAAATTCTGGAAACCAGGATTGGAACGGTTCCAGGCTTGAGCGCAGCTCCTGCGGCTCAGAGTGGTGATGTCATTTGAGCTGATGTTCCCTCAGAGCTCCAGTAAAGGTGGCCGTCCAAACATGAAGAGCCGTCCCGGCCGACAGAGTGAGAAAGAAAAGGAAGGAAATCTGGAACCCAAACCAGTCCACAACACCCCCTGCGAGTGTACTGAAGAGCAGCTTCCCCAGGACTTCAAGGGTCGCCAGAAAACTGTAGTGGGTAGCCTTAGTGGGAGGAAAAAGAACAGAAGAAGAAGAAAGGAGTATGGAGGCAGGGGTGTTGTAGAAGGAGGTGATAGAGAGAAAAATACAGAGGAGAAAAAACAGTGTTCAACAACAGCATATTAAAATTAAATCACTGCTAAACTGCTGCAATTAGACTGATGGAAAGCCCATTCACTCTGTGAAAGTAAAAACCTGCTGAGTTTAAAGGAGCGGGGCTTTAAAGGTAACAACACAGAAGGAAATAATGAGGTTTGATTTAGAACCGAGCTGCAGGACATGGAGTGACAGTGGGAGTGAGATCAGAGTGTGAGAGCAGCATAGAAGAAAACCCGAGCCTAAACCTGAAAAAGATCTGGTCCTAAACCTGAGGGGATGAGAATAAATATGACTACAGCTACATCATCCATTGAAGCCATTAGGAAAGAATGCACTTTGAAAAGTTAAAAGAACTGAAAAAGAACAGAACAAAACTATATAAAGTAAAATTAAAATAACAGAACTATAAAAAAATTACAACAGAATAGAATAGAGTAAAGTAGAACAGGTAACTAATTAAAATGTCTTGATTTTTATTATGTCTATTAACTTTCACTGTGTCTGAATACTAAATCTTGACATGGGTCTGAGTAAGATCAGGACCAGGTTTGTGAGAAACCAGGTCCAGGTCTAAGTACAGCCTCCTCACAGACTTGCTCAACAGATTCAGTTTCATTCTCCTGGGTATCGTTAGCATGCACTAACACTAACGTGCACTCACGCGATCAGCTTTCTGTCACTGGATATGTTTACTTACTTACTTACTTACTTACAGACAGACAGACAGACAGACAGACAGAAAGACAGACAGACAGACAGACGCACAGACGCATGATCACACACACACACACAACATTTTAATTTTGTATCGTCGTAATAAGTATATATAATATACTTATATTAATATACTTATATTATATATTATATACGTTTTGTTATTAATTTTTATTAACTTATTCTGCATGCTGACTTTTCTTGTTTTCTAGTTTTAGCGACAGTGGAATGAGACGTGTCATGGTGAGTTCTGTGATTTACCTGAATGCTCTCCTCAGCCCTCTGAGTGCAGTGCATCATGGTAGTGAAGGTAAGAGTGGTGATGAGTCCGCCCAGAAAGTGCTGGATGCTCATGCTTAGGATTGCCAATCCTGAAGAAAGAGAGTTTAAAAAAAAAAATCACAAATGAAAATCTGCTGCTGCAGGCCTGAAAAACAAGGCAAGTTTCCAACTGATGGGAGTTTTACAGTCATTTTTGCTCAAGTCAAAGTTAGTTTTAGTTCAAGTGTAAATGATGAGCAGCTTTTCCAACATCTCCTCCTCCTCCACCAACAAACTCTCCAAAGCCTCGTCCCACAAAGCTGTGCAGTGATTCCTCTGAGGAAGTCGACGTAAGGAGAGACAGATGAAGCTCAGAGTCCCAGCTCTGAATTATTCACTGCAGTTTTTACTTCAGTCAGCGACATCACGCTAGCAGAGTTTTCATGGAATATTGGAAAATGTGGCGGAGTTTTCCTGACATCTTTGTTCTCCAACGTTCTGTCAGAGAGGTTTGATGGTGGAACAGAACTCTGACTGAGATGAACACTGCACATTTCAATCCCAGTCGCACCACAGACTCAAAGTGTGAAACAGAATCAGATTATCATTCAGACTGAAATGAACCATAATCTGAACAGTCTCTGGGGACAGGCAGAAAGACAAAGAGAGACAGAGTGATGGCAGGAAAAAAGTGGCAGAGAGGGAGCGAAAGAGAAAGAGAGGTTATTGTCTTCCTATACTGAACGTCATTTGTTCATAATTTTTTCAAGACTGTAAATATTCCAGGTGTCACTGAAGTCAGTTCTGATCTTTTGTAAACAACAAACTCTCCCACACCAGAGTCCAAAGAGTAAAATCTGTCATTAGTTCACAGGAACGGGGGGGCTGCTGTCCACCACTGCCCCCTGTGGTTCGTTTTGGTCAATAAGGTAAATTACTATTTTTGGTCTGGTGCAAGAGAGTGACTTACCAACGTCAGCTGAGCAGGTTTGTACAACTACTGTGGTCAGTGAGGTCACATGCTGTATGATCAGGTATCAATACCTAAAAAAAGTCTTTAATCATTCAGAATGAAGGTCTGTGAATCTGTTCATCTTCAGGTGATAATTTATGGAAAGAGAATAGACTGCAAGTGTCCTAATCCCATGTCTCTTTGTATCTGTCCCTGTTTGACAGTGACTCCCTTTCGAAGCAGGGTCTTAAACCCATCTCTAATGTTAGAAAGGTGTCAGTAATCCTACAGCAGGATTTCCAGCCATTGTGTTTATTACTCAACCGTGATATAGGGTTACTGAGCTGTTGGCCCGCTGACAGACAAGAGCCAACACACATGCACACACACACAGTTATAAACACACACGGACACACAAGTAGACAAACGCATACATACTGATACACAAACAGTAAAACACACACGAACACACACAATTTCTCTGTTCAATAAAATTCAAAAGTTAAAATGTGTGTCTCTGTGTTCCTTAATCAAGGTCTTTGAAATATTAACTTAACTACAATAACTAATACAAAGTAAATAATAGAAATAATAACTCAACAAAGTTGATCTGAGAAATAACATGTGACATGTTGACGCTAGACATGAACTAAGCTTAGGTGTTTAATCCAGATCTGAATTAAGCGCCAGAGAAAACCAATCAAACCCGTACAGGTAACATATAGAGGTATATGACAGACATTCAGAATTTTTTTTTAACCACAAACTTTCATATATCAACAGAAGCAGTCGCCCCCTGCTGGTTCACTGCTTCCTTCCACCCACATTCTCACCTTTAATGAGTGGCGATGGTTCCAGGACAGTGAGCAGAGAACTTTGGAAGACCATGCTGATAGTTCTTAGCACAAACACTCGGCGCATTAAACTCCCGATGCTAAGGAGAGAAGAACAAAATTCAGAGTGTGACTAAGACAGAGTTGAAAAGACAATAAAAACATCTACATGCATCTATATGTGCACACACACACACTTACGTGTGTGTGTGTGTGTGTTCAAGTGCATCAGTAAACAGGATTCAGACACTAATTGATTCTCTGGTAGTGCAAGGAAAAGAACTCTCCTGTGGCTTTAGTTCATGACGTAATCAATAACCTGAGGAGAGTCACAGCATGAAGACCTGCATTAATCACACTCACACACACGCTCATAATACACACCCTATCACAAAAGCGCACACTGACATTGTGGCTGCCAGTCACTCCAAGGACTCCTGTCAATCAACCACTGAGTGTGTTGATGATTTTTTTTTTCATGTAATTATTTATGTGTAAAACTGTCTGACTGTGATTTAATTGGATGAAAACAATAACAGACTTTGATTCCCTCCTCAGCCCATTCCTGCACTAAGGGCTGATCCTACAAAGTGTTTTTGTGGAAAACCTCCTGAATGTAAATGGTGATTTTATTCTAATAACTAGATGTTCATCCGTGGGAAACAAAAAAAAGTTCATTTTCACTGACCTTATTTTTTATTTCTTTTATTTAAATTGGATGGATGATATATTAGATACACATCAAAAAAGAAGCTCGGCAGCATTAGCTGCTTACCTGAATATTGTGACTCTGTCATTGTCTGTTTTTCTAACTGTGACAGGCTGTTGTGATATTTGTTTTTCTTGTTTTAGTACTAACTAGGAGAGAAAATAACACCGCCAGGCCACGTCTTTCTCTACTGTATTTGTTCTGTAAATCTCAGCATGGGTCTTCTTTTAGAAAGAGCAGGAGTCAATGAGACTTCACAGTCTGGGTGACAACAGACAGATTAACACACTCACAATGTGTAGTGACTTGTGCTTATGGTATGAAATGGTTTCCAACACTCTCTACAGCAGCAGTACCCAACCTCTTTTCTCAAAGATCGGTCAGCAACAGGTACAACCGCGCAGATCGTCAAAGGACTGTTAAACGATCTTTAAGAATCGGTAAACTTTCAAAATACAACATCTTTTAGATTATATTGTGTTAGTAAATAGTTAGAAAATTCATATTTTTACATTTAGATTTTCAATTGAATAAATCTGAAACATAACATGCACAATTAATACAACATTTAGAAAACATGTGTAGCTACTTATGAGATTATGAAATAAGTTATTTTGCTACAATACAAGTCTGTTGCTCACGGAAGCACAGGCAGCACGGAATCATGGAATCACCTGCAAGTTGAATGAGGAACAAGAAGGAAAAATGTAATGTTGGTCATCATGGCGGTACTCGGAGAGCTCAATGTTTTCTCAGGTGGTACAGAGTAGAAAAAAACCACTGACAATGTACTGGTCTGCTAACCTGGGTTTGTGTACCCCTGCTCTACAGATCACCCTTGAAACTCTGAAACTATAAATCAACTAAAACTATAAAATGAACAAGTTAATTTTTGAAAATAAAAATTCAAAATTTGAATTTTAAATGTAGTTGAAGAACTTTTCTGGTTTTCTGATTTTGTACGCCTCTCTTTATTGTCTCCATGTCTCATTCTCTTCTTCTCCACCCAGAAAACTAACACTGATCATTCTCATGTTAAAGACATTCTTCTCTCCGCTGCTCCTTTACACTCTCAATAACAGTCTTTCAAATATCACACACTCTCAGGAGAGGCAGGGTGTGTGTTTCTGTGTGTGTGCTTGTGGGAAACAGTAGCATCCTGTTGCTGCCTCCTTACACGACTCCAGCTTAGAAAAGACAGATCCTCAGGTTTCACTGTTGGTTGTAAAGACGGTCACTTACTGACCACTCAGCCGTTTCTTGGGAAAAAACTGCAGCTTCAGAGACAGAATACACACACAAACACACACACACACACACACGCAGGTGACTGTAAATGATGGTGCAACTTAGGGTGTGTCACAGACCACCAACTATTAATTTGAGGATTATTGTTTATTTTGGCAAGTCGTTGTCACATCTGTTTTTACAGATTTTCTCTTCACATTAAACATCAGGTGTGACTGATTACAGTAAGGAGAGTATCAACAAATTATTGACATGACATCTTGCGACAATGATGGAATCCACACCGTTAGCAGACCTGAACTCAAACCGGCACGTTTAGACTTTAAAAAAAGACTCCACTCCACTGACAGAAATGTAACATCACACATGCACCTGGCTGAAAACTGCTGCAGCTACACTCTTTTCCACTTGAGTCACTATTTACACTAAATCTGTAAACCATGTCTCTGATGTACCACCACAACTTACTGTGGAGTAAAGGTTAGTGGAACTAGTCTTCAGATGGGACCCACCTGAACTGAGCGAGCAGCAGACCTCCTAAAGAAGAGCCACAGATGGAGAAGCCCATGGCAATGACACCATTCCAGAAGCCCAGCTCTCTGGCCGTCATGTGATGATCCAGCAAGAAGAGAGGGAACATAGTGACTGCTCCCTGTTCGCCTGGAAACACAGAAGAAATAGAAACTGTGAAAACCACAGAACTAAGACAGAAAACTTAGTGAATCACTTATTTTCACTTTTTTCATTTTTTCATTTCTAACTGCATTAAGTTCCGACTTAGGCTGTCAAACAATAAAAATATTAAAAAAATAAAATATCTAATAATATATACTAATGATATATGTATTATATCATATAATACATACATATATATAAATATATATGTACATGTGTTTCACATCTATTTTATCTGTGACTCATACAAATGATGAAATTATGAAGATAAATACTAATCCTAATAAAACATTAGGATACATATAAATATATAGGTAAATATAACTCCAGCTTTATAAGAGTTGCTGTATTTTGGTCATTACTATGCATCAGGCAGTGGCTTGTAGAATGCATTGAAAGACACTTTTAAAACATCAGTGAAGCCATTGTCTTCAAACAACGGCTTCACAATCTGTCTAACAGTCTCTTACAATCTATTTGACACTTGTGTGCACATTATTCAACACATGCGTTAAAATGTGGTAAAGGTTGAATTCTAATTAATCTTCACAAATTATTTAATGTAATTATTACGTCAATTGTAAGAGCAATTCTTTTTAGGCAAATGCAATTCAAAACAACAAAAGCAGAAAAAGCAGTTGAATAAAAGAAAAATCTTATAAAACCATGAAGAAAGATTATGGCCATAGATGCAACTATTTTCAGTTGTTGTAGGCAAAGTGATCAGAAGGTTTGACAGACAAATAGATACCTCAGTTTATCAGGAAATTACTTCCGTCAATTGTTTTCATAAACAGGAAATGAATTAATACATTAATAACAGTCACACACACACACACACACCTCAATGAAGTGTTTAGGCTTGGATATGCAGATGGCGACGGCAGCATCAAGCAAACACGGACGCCTGATCGTGGAGAGCATCAATTATAGATGCCTGACAAAAAAGAGTTCCATCAATCACTTTTTCATACAGAGACTGGTACTGATCCAGCAAGGAAAAGGAAAATACAGAAACTTTCTGAGATTAATCAAAACTCTGAGTTTTCAGTTCCTGACAGAACAATCTCTGGGTACCGATGAGAGCGCTGCTAATCTTCTGCTGAATACTTTAGTAAAATATTCACTTATGATTATATTAATGTAGAGTGACTTCTGACAGACAGACAGTAGGAGCAACAACTCGACTCCTAGTGCTGTCAAGGACTGACAAGTCGACACGATTGCGATGCAGGGAGACAAACCGGAAAAACAAAGAATAAAGAGGTGAAAGAGTGAAAAAAGAATTATGAAAAAAGACGAGCAGAGGTGATTCCCAGTGTGTGAGTGGCACGCTGCAAGAACAAAGGTGTGACAGAAACACAGGAAAACACAAAGACATCACAAAGAAAACAAAATGAAAACACTGGCAGTCAAATGTAATGTCAAAGACATTACAGTTCACAGTGACCAAGAAGGGTCACGTTAGCCAATCACAGTGGCATATTCATGTATTAATGAAGCAATTCATAAGTGAATGTTTTCACTGAAGTGCCAAAAGTATAGTTTAACCAAAATAAAAGAGTGGCTGATCCCAGAGTCCAGAGACAATGTGGTGTACTAATCCAGTGTTTTTCAAACTGGGGGCCGCTATGGGATTATTTTTTTCTAAACCCTTGTCTTGAACCGTACAACACATAACTGCCGTAGTCGTCAGATTCACAATTTTTTGATGGTACATGAATGCACCTCATGTGCCAGCTGCAACTTCAGCATGATGGCGTCATAATCTGTGTAGACTTGACAATTTGCGCATGTTATCAAGCTGCTCTGCTCCCAAAACTCACATGTAGCTACCTAGCTGTAGCTAATGCTGTTTGGGAGGCCTTAGCATTGAAAAGTTTGGGAGCCCCAGCACTAGTCTACTGTTGCTTCATGTGGTCAGTTACAAAGGTGGATGTTAACCATTCAAAAAAAAGTGCAATTGCAAAACAGCATAATAGCAAACCAGCAGCTACTTTGTCCCTGAGTGCTAAAACTGAGCCATTCTCTATAGAACTTTAGTGTCATATACAGTAGTAAGTGGTTCTGATTGGTAAATCTCCATGTACAAACTGCAGTCCATTTTATATTCACTATCTTATTTAGTAAATCTAGTCTACAATGAGTCAACATAACAGCTTTACCCAAAATGTCTAACGTGTTTACCCCGGATTCAGTTCTGCAAAGGTTCTGACTTCAGCTAATTATTTCTTAATGGAGGCATGAACTGATTTTTATCCTCTAAAAATAATCTAAAAGCAATGACCGTCCATTTCAGCAGGGAATTTGTTAACCACAGCAGTTGAAGTAGAGGAGGAAAGAAAATGAGAAAAGAAGAAAGTAATGATTTAAATGTATTAAGATTAGTGCTGGCCAACAAATAAAAAGTGTATATTGTGATAAATCGCACGACTATATGTGATTAACCTCAATTCATGTGCAAAGTGAACTCATTTCAATGTTTTTTGTTTTGCACACTTTTGTTTCAGTATATTAATTGAACATCTATGCAATAGTTACTAAACCTCCTAAACTAATAAGGAGCTTTTTGACAGCAGTATTCACATAGTAGCAATTAAAATATTTCTTGTACATGATTTTAGCGCTGTCGAGGACCTGTCAATTTTGCTAGCTAGCTACAAGCTAGATTGAGGAGCAGAGCCATTTGATAGCAGCACAAACGACCAGGTTTGAACTGATTGTAAAGTTGTCGTGCCAAAGTTGCACCTATCACATGAGCTGAGTTCAGGTTCCAACAGAAACTTTAGAAACTGACAATTAAGGCAGTTTATTTCTTGTACATTTTATTTTTTAATTTATTAAAGGCCCCTCCTTGAATTGCAACCTTAACGTGGTGGAGGGGTTTGAGTATCCGAATGAACCTAGGAGCTATGTTGTCGGGGGCTTAACGCCCCTGGTAGGGTCTCCCAAGGCAAACAGGTCCTAGGCGACGGATCAGACAAATAGCGGTTCAAACTCCTTGAGAGAGTCTGGAATCTTTTCTACTCTGGAGTTGCTCGCGATGAGAGACGGCGTGCTGGCGTAGGCTTACTCATAGCTTCCCAGCTTGCCAGTCGTGTGTTGGAGTTCTCCCCACTGAGCGAGAGGGTCGCTTCCCTGCGCCTTCGGGTCAGGGACAGGTGCCTCACTGTTGTTTCGGCCTATGGGCCGAATAGCAGTGTAGAATAGCAGGCCTTCTTGC